AGCATTCGCCAAAGTACAGGATAGTTCCAGAAAGTAGAGGGCGTGAGAATAGTCACGTGATCTCGATGACACAACAATATGTTGGAAATAAAGTAATAAATATTACTCTTCTGTAAACTATACATTTCTTAAACCGTATAACGTTTATGTATATAAACACATTATAGCTCTATACAGCTTGTTAATCACAATAACATTGTTGTAACACGTTCTTTCATTGGGCAGGTTCTTTTGAATTATTTGATGGAAATTTTATAATGCCAAGATTCAGAACAAGTTCTGGTAATGAATAATACTTAAATGATTAATAGCTATAGCCACCTTCATTTTTAGGCCTAATTTCAAATATAAAACTTCTCAACAGAAACCCCAAAACTAGTGTTGGCCCAATACACTATTAACATTTGATAATAAACATGACTAATTTACTGATTAGCTGACAGAAGCACAAATTCTAACACTGCTTGATCAACTACTTGATCATTCAATTCTTGTGTTTGTCCTGTACCTTTGTCTCTAGATGTTAGACAAAGCTTCTGGATTATTACCTGATATTAATAATGATTATCAGCTCCTTCTAGCAAATAACTAAATTATAACACTGAAAATACATATTATAACAACACTCAATTGTTCATTAAAGGATACATCCATCATGGATATCATGCTACGGCAAACATCCAGTGAAATCTCATCGATGTCAAATTCTAGAAAGATAAATAAAACACTATCATGTTATTTGTTGTTCTTTTTTTTAAAAAAAGTTTGCAATTCCATGTTCTTTTTACAAGTCTGTGACAAACGTGCAAGAGAAAGAAAGTACACTAAAAAAAACATTTTTCTAAACCATTTTTTAATTTAAGACAATATTCTTATATGCATATTTGCTGTAATATAGATGAGCTCAAAACTGTACAAATAAACTGTCTACAAATAAAACGGATCTTTTTCTCACCTTGCTTCACAGCAAAATTTAGCACTTCTTGAAATTCATAGCAGTCAACTTCTAGATCTGGACCAGATATGCTAGCAAAGAAATCTTTTACTTGTTGTTCCTTATCTTCTTCCTCTTCATTCTGTTCAACTTGAGCCTGTAACAGAATAAACTTCTAAATTAAAGGACTGAAACTACAAGAAATAAAAATTAATTTATGTGAATATCTGAATAATTTACTACTTATGAATTTAGATTAATATGAACATGTTAAAAAACTGAAACCTTGTTTGTTTTTCAGTTGGTAAAGTCACATTTCAAAAATAAACTCAAACTTGAATAACATTTTTGTAGTGTTTTTTCAATAAAGATTGGTGCTAGTAGTGCAAACAGTTTTTTTGCATAATTGGTATGAAATGAAAACATTATACATAAAATACAAAATAATAATGCAGATATTACATCCTTTTTTCTTTTGAATTTTTTTTTTTAAACATTAGAAGTCTTTTGGAATGATGTGGTTGTAGTTTTAGAGAAGTAGTGTTCCTACATCACATAAACACAAATACAGAACAGCAATCCAACTACACGTTGTTTAAGTAAAACAAATGTATATACACCAAATGGTGCAACAAACAGAACTACTGTGCTTGGTATCTGACTAGTGGACAGGAAGTTTATGACAATTGGTGTAGATGTTGAGGTGACATGACTTTCGGCTCTAGAACTGACTGCATGACTTCCGATGACGTAGGGAAAGAAGCACGTGCTGATGACGTTATTCGATTTGGTCACTGACACTGGTATCTGTGATAATGATGTTGGTGATGAGTCTCGTGACCTTGAGATCATTGCCGTTACAGCACTACAGTGGTTAGTGATTGAAGTTTGCAAAACTATATGGAATTCTATGGACTTGTTGTGCTACAGGCTTCATTTTCTCATCAATGTGTGGTTCTAATTGATAACCTATATTGAACTCTGTTCTGATGGACAGACAGTGTTGATAACTCATACTCAATACACCTAAATATAGTGCAGTGTTATGTCTTAACAAAGATTGACCGGCACCTTTAGCTACAAAAAACTCTGCTCTAATCACTTGGAATTTTTTTCACTATTTCAATCAGTGTTTTACTTTCATATGCACAGAAGATTTTGTGAGCAACACCGGGTGTGCATGAAATACCACACTGTCCAAGATAATTCCAGACACTTTAATTTACAACATTACAACTCATGCCCAAGTCTATAAGCATTGTCAACAGAACTCTGCCATTTACTAATTCTATGGTCAAGGTATTGTCATTATTGTTCGACAAAACAAAAACACATTCATCTTCTGATGACTCTGTACCATTACATAAGTCATAATCAGTCATATAATTCACTTTTTTTCTTATGAGCAGAATGGTTATCTCATTTTGAGAAATTCTTAGTTCTTTACATGGCCGCGTGGTGCTCTTGAAAATGACATTTATTGCAAATCTTGTCTTTAGCCATGTGGCAATTGTGAGCTATGTAACTTGTATAACCACATTGATAACTACGAACCAGTGGCCCTCCCTTGGCACCAAAGTCTCTTTTACATGTTGGATTAGAATGCAGACTTGATGTACTACATTTATCAAAATTAAATAATAGGTTGAAAATATATAAAAACTTGGCGACTGTTCAACCTATTATTTAATTTTGATATTTTCATTGCCTATGCGGTTTTAACTATATTTGTACTGTGTTTATCACACAAACTCATGGCTTGTACGGTTTCTACCCAGTTATGTTCAATCCAACCTGCCTGCTGTTCTGCTGCTCAACTGATCTCCAACACCTTTTTTAAAGTTAGACCTTCGTGTCTCAACAAACTTCTACATAAGTCGTGAGATTTACACTTATCTATAACTTGTTTTCTGATCATGTCATCATTTAACTCTCCAGATTTACATGATAAAGCTAACTGTCAAAGACAAGTAGCATAACTTTCAATATTTTCACCATACAGCTGAACAGCTTGTTGAAACATGCGTCTTTCAAAAGCACTATTTTTCAGCCCCTCAAAATAATTGTTAAACTAATCTAAGGCTGTCTGGTAGGTATCTCCCGTGTCTGTGAAGATCAAGAAAACATCCTGGCATGCAGGTCAGATTACATGGAGAACCAAAGTCCTTTTTTGCACTGCATACATTATGCCTATTGCAGTCAAATAATAAGTGAACTGCTCTTTCCAGAGTCTCCACTATTGAGAAATAATGCTTTGGTTTATGTAGTCAAAAGGCTCAAGAGAAGTCAAATTTAATATTATACACATAATCAGCTGGAAAATCGAATCCCATCCTCGTAGCCAAATCTAGTGTATTCTCAATAGAGACCCCTCACACAGTGTACTGCTCTTGGCATTTATTTCCCCCAACTGCCTGTCTCAGCAGAAAACTGTAATATCTAAGCAAGAGTGGTGGTGGTAGTAGCACAAACAAGGTGTTTTGCATAATTGGTAAGAAATGAAATACTTATGCATAAAATACAAAACAATAATGCAGTTATTATAATTTTGTATTGGACTACAGAATAAAATAATAAATTTTAAAAATAAATAACTTTTAAAATTTAATTTTATATAATTAAGATATTACAAAACCCGAAATATTTCTTTGCTTTCAAACAGAAAAATCAACTTTAAAAAATTAAATCTGAGTATAATATGAAATGAGAACAACCAAGCACCCACAAAAATAAATTTATACTCTCCCCCCTACAGCCATGCATGATACTTACTGACAGTTTAAAGAGTGAAGATGACTGCGACTTTTAACTTTCACACTAAAAAAAAATCTTCTGGAATTTTTATTTTAAACTTTGGTGTGTTTACAATATTTAATTTATATCAGATCTCTCTGGATCTAATACTTGGAACCCATTTTAGACTTTTTAAACCTAAGGACAGAAACATTGTAATTAATTTTGCGACTGCCTTGGTTGCATTATGAATTAATATTTGATTGATGTAGCTGCCTACATTACTCCACTCCAAATAATGTTTAAACTATTTGTTCCCAAACTCAAAATCTCCTCCCCACCCAACAATATAGATCTTGTACTTTTTTTTCCTACAAATCAAGCACAATGCATCAATGAAAATAAACAACGACTAACTCCAAGAATTTTAATTGACTTCTGAATTGATGTTCTGCTTTTATAAGAGAGACTGTGCAATGCAAATGTTTAATAAAACTGACCTAACTTTTGTTTTCAGTCACTTGGTTGTTTAAAATGTGTTTTATGAAGAGATAAACTGAAATGTTAAACCAGTGAATGCTTACTTTCACAACAGAGTTGCAGATGCTCAGAGTTACTAAGTTAATATGTATATATATGCTTAATAGAACTTAATACAACTTTTAAGTAGATAGGCAATAGTTAATTAAGATTGAGTAATTTTCCATTATGTGTATGGCTGATAATACGGTTTTCTAGCATGTTTAACATTATTATTTAATGGCAGATTTTATGTTAACGTTAAAAAATGATAAAAAAAATCAAGTATAGAAAGCCATACATATTGCATGAAAGTATATATTTACACTAATGTGCATACATTAGAGACTACTATTCAGTCTCTTGTGTAAAAGATGTTCAGAATAAAATATAGTAATAAAGTCATTCTAATTTGAGTAGCTTTGTGCAAAATTAAACACATATAAATAACAGCACCTTCTCAATGCAAAATCTAATCACCCTGTTTTAATACATAAATGTCACAAATCATCTTGTGATCATGTTTCATCTGAAAGCCATGTTATAACCTCTTTCTAATGGATCCATTACACCTGTAATTTGACAGAAACATCTACATGAATTTTAACTTTCAAATTTCACTAATATATGGCTATTCATTTAATATACACACATTATGGCAAATGTTTCCAGATGTAGTTGTTTGTCATCTATTGATAATAATAACATAACTTGTATGTTCAGGCTTTAAATTAATCTACATACGGGTGTTGTTTTACCAAATGCAGATTAGTAATAAATAAGTTCTTCTGAAATTGAAACTTAATCTTAAGAGGAGTTTCTGGTTACCTGAACAATGCCACTTTGTGATCATGTTTCAATGGAAAGTCAAGCTAACCATTTTCTAATGGATTCTAATGCAAAAGAACACAAGGACAGGGGTGGCTATAAAGATGGGGGAAGGGCTTTGAAATATTTCTGGAGTTATGATTTAGATAGTTATAAAACATGAGTGATAAATTTAGTATTTTTATAAGTGATAATTTATCACAGGTTTGCTTATGTAACTATTTACAAATCATTTGTTGTGTAGTTCAATTGTTGTGAATTGACGTCATGTTACTCGAACCTTCGGAATTCTTCTAGTTGCTTTGAGTTTTGTCACATCATAACATTTCATAGTTTGTAGAAAGTTCTAGGCATCAGTTGGGCAATCGATATATATATATATATATATATATATATATATATATATATATATATATATATAGTAGACTACGTAAGTAGTAAGTAAGTAAGTAAGTACGTAGACGTAGTG